GCATTATGCTAAGTGAAATGGCTCAGACAGACAGATGCCATATGATTTAACTTATATGTGGAATCTAAAAAAATAAATAAACATTATTAAAAAACCAGAAACAAACTCATTGATACAGAGAACAATTTTGATTGCTGCCAGATGGAAAGGGGGTTGGGAGGATGGGTGAAAAAGTGGAAGGAATTAAGATGTGCAAATAGGCGGTTATAAAAACAGTCACAGGGATGTAAGGAAACACAGTCAATAGTATTTTATTAATTATGTATAGTGTCAGATGGGTAGTTGTCTTATCAGGGTGATCACTTCTTATATAAATGTCTAATCACTATGTTGTGTAACTGAAACTAATAAAGTATTTCATGTTGACTGTTACAGAAAGTAAAAAATTAATTAAAAACTGAAAATACATAAAAACATTAAAACTACAATCTAAAGAATAGGAGAAAACATTTGTATATCATTTAAACAATATGGGTTCAATATCCAGAATATATTAAAACACTCTTACAATACTAATAAAGAATAGTAAATGAATATAATACTTAAATAATAATTTAAATAATATGAATAAAAATATCACCCAATTTTTAAAAATGAGCAAAGGATTTCAACAGATAATTCTTAAAAGAAGATGTACAAATGGCCAATAACCACATGAAAAGATGTTCAATGTCATTGGTCATTAGAGAAAAGCAAATCAAAAGCAGACATACTGCTTCACACCCAGTAGGATGGTTTTAATCAAGAAAACAGAAAATCACAAGTGTTGACAAGGATGTTAAGAAATAGGAACCGTCATACCTTGCTAGTGGGAATGTAAAATGGCACAGGTACTTCAAAAGATAGATTTTTAGTTCCTCAAAACATTAAACATAGAGTTATCATATGGACCAGCAATTCTACTCCTCCATCTATGTCCAAAAAAAAATAAAGACATGTGTCCACATAAAAAATTATACTCGAATGCTTACAGTGACATTAGTCATAGTAGCCAAAATGGAACAAACTAAATTCCCATCAACAAATGAAGGGATAAACAAACTGTGAAATATATACATAGAATGGAATATTATTCAGCCATAAAAAGAAATGAACTACTGATATATGCTACAATTTGGATAAACATTGAAAATGTTACAATAAATGAAAGAAGGCAGACACTGACATTCATGTATTACATGATGCTTTGTATGTAACATATCCAGAATAGGCAAATCCATAAAAAGCAAATTAGAGGTTACCATGGAATGGGGCAAGGCAGGGAGTGCAGAGCACTTGCTTAAAAGTACAGAATGTTTTTATGGGGTGATGAAAAAGTATTTGAAACCACAGAGGTGTTGGTTGCATGATATTATGAATACATTACCACTGAATTGTATACTCTAAAATGGTTAATTGTATGTTATATAAATTTCACCTCAATTTAAAAATAGAATAGACTACTTAGGATTAAATTTAATAAAGTAAGTGCAAGACTTGCAGACTGAAAACTACAAGGTATCATTAAAAGAAGATTAAATACCTAAACGAAAGGCAACAAGTCCTGTATTCATAGAGTAGGAAATTTACAATTTTTCAGATGGCCATGCTCTCCAAATTGATCTTTGATTCAGTGCCATCCCTATCAAAGTCCCAGTTGGCTTTTTAGGGGCAGAAATTGGCAAGTTAATTCTAAAATTTATATGGAAATGAGAGGGACTCAAGATAGTCAAAACAATCAAGAAAAAAAGATCTGGGGGACTCACACTTTCCATTTTCAATATTTACTACAAGGCTACAGCAATCAAGATATTACAGTACTGGTATAAGAACAGACACACAGACCTATGGAATAGAATTGAGAATTCAGAAATAAATTCATGCATTTGTAGTCAACTGACTTGTGATAAATTTTACAAAACCAGTCAACAGGGAAAGTAAAGTCTTTAGCATCAAGTCTCTGTGACTTTTGATTAGATACCAAAAGTACAAAAGAGAAAAAAGAAATTGGTAAGTTGAACTTTATCAAAATTAAACACTTTTGTGCTTTAAAACAAACTGTCAAGAAACTGAAATGACAACAAGGTCTAATGTCCATACAAGAACTTTTACAACTCAATAATAAAAAGACAAAGAATATAGCTAAAAAATGGGCAAATGACTTGAATGGGTATTTCTTGAAAGAAGATGTACAAATGGGCAATAACCACATGGAAAATGCTCAACATCATTAATCATTGGAGAAATACAAATCAAAATCATAATGAGATACCATTTCACACCCAGTTGGATGACTGTAATTAAAAACACAAAGAATAACATGTGGGTAAGGATGTAGAGAAATTTGAATTCTCATACATTGCTAGTGGAAATGTAAAATGTGTAATTACTTTAGAATATAGTTTTCCAATTCCTCAAACATAGTTACTTTATGACTGGCAATTCTAGCATTATATCCAAGAGAAATAAAAACTCATGTTCACTCATAAAATTGTACATAAAAGTTCATAGCAGCATTATTCATAATAGTCAAAAGGTGAAAACAAACCAAATGCCCTTTAACTAATAATGCATAAACAAAATACAGTATAACCCATGCAATGGAATATTCTACATAAATAAAAAGGAATGTAGTAGTGATACACCCTACAACATGAACCCTGAAAACATTAAGCTAAGTGAAAGACACCAGGCTATGATTCCATTTACATGAAGCATCTGGAAGAGTCAAGTCCAATCTACATAAAGCAGATTAGTAGTGACCTAGGTCCGCGAAGGGGAAGAGAATGAGTGACTGCTGTTGAGTATTGGGGGTTATTCTTTTGGGGGTGAAGAAAATCTCTGGCTATAGATGTATTGGTTGTAAAGCCCTGTGAATATACTAATAACCACTGAATTCACAGTAAATAATTCACACTAAATGTACACTAAAATGGTGAAAATTATAGTAGGTGAATTATATCTCAATTAAAAAATGGATGAGGAATTTACTACAAAGAAACAAAGTACTTATATGAAGTAGAGCTGGGGAGGCCATATCTTAGTGTATAAAAACACTCTAATTAGTAAAAGGAATACTAACAAGTATGTGAGGTTTAGAGGTAGGTTAATTATAAGATTCCAATTTAAACATTGTATGTCAGAACAAAACCTCTTCAGAATTTTAAGAACTCTTAGAGAAGATAATTTGATCCTGCAGTGAAGAATTTCCACCACTAAATTAGTCTCTGGTTAAAGCCATCACTCAGATTTCAGCATGGAGACAGTATTTAAATAAGCAATTCATTCTGCAATAGAAACCGCAAGACTGGATTGAATTCTGTTGTTACCTTGTTGACTTTAGGAAATATATAGTCTCCTATTCACATACAATCAGGGCCTTAATCTTCAGCCTCACCTGGGGTGTGGGGGGTTTGTTCCCTTCAGTCTGGACCTTTAATTCTTAATGTGCTGTACAGACTATTCCTAGACTCACACAGCACCAAGGCAGGGGTCCGGGATTTAAATACTGAAGTCTGGTGAGAACAAGCTGCAAACATCAGAGAAGTTATTTCTCCAGAGGACAATGGAAGAGTGGGTGTGGTATCTCCAGGCAACCCAAGTCAAACCACATATTCTGAGATCTGATGAACATTCCACCTCATCTTAAAGAACATTAAAATTAGCTTTAGTCAGTTTTACTGAAAAACAAAACAACTGTAAAGCTATCTGTGCATCAAAATCAGAGTGTGAGAAGATAATATATATTTTATAAAACCTTTCAAGACTAACTGAATATTTTTTAATAGGCTGTGGGTTTTGTTTGCTTTGTTTTGTTTGACTTGACTGCCTTTAATTCTTGAACTTTTTTCACTGGATTCAAGAAATTGATGAGAAATCCTAATCTTTTCCTATATTTAAGGGGAAAAAGGATTTTAAAACAACAAAATTCTAGAATCGTTCAAATTAAAGATAAGCATCCGCTCCATTCTAGAATGGCATATTCCTTACTCTACCTTTCCTTCTATACAATTTTTTTATTAAAAGTAAATAGGTTTCTCCTAGAACACTAGCTTTAAAATGCTAAGATTACATAGGCAATACAGCTCATTCATTTTTAAACTAAAAACATGGATGCATCTTGGGAATATCATGCTGAGCAAGGAAGGTCAGATGGAGGGGGTGAGGAGCCATATGATTTCACTCATACATGGGGTGTAAAACTGGAAGCAACAGATGAACAAGCAGGACAGACAAATGGAAACTCATGGACACAGACAGCAGTGTAGTGGTTACCAGAGGGAAGCGGGTAGGTAGTAAAAGGTAAAGGTGGTCAAGTATATGGTAATGGAGAAAGATTTGACTTCTGGTAGTGAACACACAGCACAATATATAGATGATATACTTTAGAACTGTTTATTTGAAACCTATATATTTTATTAACCAATGTCATCCCTATATTTTTAATATAAGAATGATGGATTTGATACAGCAAATCTCTGGAGAATGTTTCTTAATACTTCTGTAATGAGAAAAAACATAAGTAGAAAGAGTGCCTGCTGCAGTGATTAGTTGAGTCATTAAGTTGGCTTGGTGAATGTACCTGGCAAGTCTGGAGACGCATTTTTAATTCTCACTTCTTAGATTTCTAGATTTCTTATATTCAACTCCAAGGCTAAGTATATTTAATAATCTATGATTCAATTAATGAATTAACATAAGTTAAGACATAAATTATGTAACTAGAAATAGCTTGTTTTAAATGTTGATCCACAGCAATGGTACTCATTTCATCAGATAAAAAATTTTTTAGCAGCTTTCTTAAATGACTGCCTAATTCATCTTTATAAACACAGTCCATTTTCATCGTGGGGAAGGATGTGCAGATTTCAGATATTTGCATTACTTGGTGGTCAACAGAACCTTGCATAGTGTTTTATCATACACTTTGTATTGAAGTGTAGTTTATATAAATGAAAACATGAATGGCCATTATCACTCACTCAGGATGACTTCAAACAACACCCAGACAGTCCACTCACCTTGGGGAGTTATAAGAGTTCTTCCATTCTTCTGACACCATCCAACTGGCTGGATATAAGGACTATTTACACCACACCTGGAAAAACAGCATTCTACTTAGATCTCATATTACTCAAGGTCAGAGAAAGAATTCAATAGTAATGAACATTCTGGATGCCATGGAAAATATTATTTCATAGTCAAAATGTTACTTTATAGCTAAGATAATTAGAAGTGATTTTTAGTATTATATTTTATAAGCTGAGTGACCAAACTTCTCTTTTACATAACCTTCTTGAAATTTAAAAGTATAAAATAAAAAGTTGTTTACTATAACCTGAAATGCCAGTACTATCCCCAAAGAGTGAACATTTTAATAGTCTTCTACAACTTCTTGCTAAGAGCAAGGGAAATATCAATCAGCCAGTTCAAATTTTAACAGGACAGCCCAGTCAGACTCCACATGGCTTCACATTTCTTCTATCTCCTTTTCAAAGAATTCACACTATTCTACTTAAGGCACATACAACAAATGATCTTTGCTCTGCTTCTTAGTTCAAAGGCAAAAACAGGGTACCCTTCATGTACATGAAGAACCACAGCCTCAGGCAGGGACCTGCAGGTTATTCAGGACATGCTATGAAGAAATGCTACTAAAATTATTTGCACCATTCCCTCTTACCTATTTCAGGGTTTTGCCCAGAAAACCCTTTTAACTCATGCAATGTTAGTTTAATGGCATCGTTGCATGCATTTTCTCTGCTCCCCACAGGTTTTCAAATAATTTACTCCATTCTCCCTGAATTCTATCTTTTAAAAATATGACAGGGTAAGTTTAACATTTTTCAGAAAAAAAAATACTGCAAGTTCTTAACTCCTCATCATGAAAAAAATGCTTCCCTTACGTACTAGACAAAATACAGTGAAGTGCCCAGAACTAGTCATATTATTTCAGATGAGTTCTTATTAGGTAACCACCCATGAAATGAAGAAAATGTTTCTTGGGCTCTTTAATTAGAGAAAGAAGTAAAAAGTCAGCCACTAAATTCCTGTTGTTTATACCTTTAAGAAGAAAAGAACAGCAATAGTACTAGAATGAAAACAAATTCTTAACACCGAACATGAACACACAAAAATAAAACGCACAATGGTGTCTCACCAGTAATCGTAACTATCATCCCAATTGTCAAAATGCACTAGTAAGCGATCTTCAACAATATCTGCTATGGTTGCCACACACACCAGGGAAGGGTTCTTCCTGTCGACGGCCTCCAGCTTCATTCCAACCTGAAATTCTTTAGGCACTGGCCCATTCTAACACAGCACCAGAGGAAGAGGCACAAAAAGAAACAGGACACCAAACAGGACTGAGCCACTGTCCAAACTTCTATGATGTTTAGCATCAGAAAAGTCTGTCGGGTATCAACACTTATCATGCTGAATGAAGCCAGCAAATGCCAGTAAAAATATACCCACAAACCGTTAGGAAGTTTACATTCAGAACAAAGATGGAGAAATAAGTTTTTACACTTGGCTTTTCTCTTTATGCAGGTAGGCTTTACCCGCCTTATCATTGTCACTTTCCCTCGTCTTCAGTTTTTAGAATAATGTGTATTAATTTTAAATTATGATGTTTACTGAATACAGTAGTATCAAATAATTTCTTCTGCTCCTGATACAATTTTTGAGTAGTTTCCATATACCACTATTTTGGAAAAGTAATAAAGATATGCTCTTTAGCACCAAAATAACTTTCATTAGATATGAAAATAGTGGTTTTTCTATATTTAAAGAACACACACACTAATCCACAAATAAAATTACAATTGAAAAAATCCAAATGCTTTTTTATTATATATACATAATTTAATATTAAAAATGCTAAGGACTATGATTTACAATAATATTACAATGACAAAGCCCCACTTTCCTAAAGCTATAATTAGCCAGTGGTGGGATTTAGAAAGTATACATACAGCATCTGGGGACTACCAGAGGTTTTGTTCTTTACTATCGATGCGGAACTCTGATTGTTTGATTTCCTTTAGCACATTACATTTTTCAAGGTGATTTTACACTTCTTTCCTTAATACAATTCTATGAACCACAGAGAGAAGCTATATAACAGTGATTTCAAGATCAGGACACTGAAGCCTAGAAAAGTTGGGTGAGTGTCCCACAGGGGGACAGAGCCCACAAGCGGCAAGGCTGACATGTGACTCCAGGCTTCCCTGACCATTTCAGTGATGTGTGGCCTCCCTGCTGGGCCTGTGGGCCAAAAAGGAGGCCAAAGCTGCTATTTATCTTCCTTCTATCTTTAAGACTTGTTAGGTTGCTGGGGACACAAATGGCATACGTGTGCTCTACCCAAATTCTCATATACCCCTTGAATCTACGTGAAATGTCACCCTCTTTGTCATTACACATAAATCCAACTAGACTGGGTACATTCAAGTTCACCTCGGGTATTTACTCATCTCAAACACCAAAACTAAGTTTAAATGGCTAGCTCACCAGAAGCACAATAAAAAAAAAACCATTTCTAAAAGGCATTTTAAATTTTAGTCAGTTTGAAATATGTATTTTTCTACTCTCTTTATCTAATAACACTTTTAATTATATTTTTAAAGGGGAAAAAGTATGCCCATAAGAAACTGATATATTAAGTGAGAAAAGTCAACCAGAAGCTGAGAATTCTTAAAAGATTAAAATACAACAGAATATACAGTGAATTTTTTAAAATTTAAGCTCAAGGAAAAATCTAGTTTATATTAAGGCAGAAAATACTTACAGAACTTCTGTTCCTGAATAATTTCTTGGGAGCATTTTGCAATTTGTAGGCCTTCAAATAATTCATCCAAACAAATTTATCTTTTCTATAACCTAAAAAAGTATGGATTACTCAAGATAACCACAAGATGTAACCATGTGCATACTAAATATATAATTCTTATTCAGTCTTCTGCCATAAATTAAATGTCCTTTAGCAGACCACAAAAGATTTAAATTAAAATCTCTAGCTTCTTTCAATGTTTCCCAATGTATGAACTTCAAGATTGCTGAGTGTGATTGCCCACCATGCATATTACTCCTTACAAATTTAAAAAACGTATTAAGATATGGAATTGGTATCTGGTAACTTAATAGGTGTCTCATATCCCATTGAGACCTTCCAAAATGGTCAGAGGAAGGAGACAAAAGCCCTGAGTTTGTCATCACTCCTGAAGAAGCCACGTCACCAAGACCATCAGAGGCCCTGATGGTGCAACAGTCCAGGCACCAGACATCTGGAGTAAATTACAGAAACACCTTCACAATCCAAAGGCCATTTGGCAGCTCCAGCTTTCTGACCCATAGCTTTACAGGTTTCCCATAAAAAAATGCATTATCCTGCCATCCATGTGCCCTAAAAGTGGCTCACTGGGTGCTGGCCCAATTAAAACTGGCTCAGTAAATATTTTCTGTTGGTGTTATATTAATATTAAGAATAAAAGTCAACTCCTTGCACAACCTTCGAAGCCATGGCTGCATCTCTAATTTCATCTCCTATCTTCTCACCTTTGCTTCTGTTGTAGCCACATTCATTCCTTGTGATTATTCAGCTGCATGAAGCACACTCTGGCCCCAGCACATTTACTCTTGCTTTTCTCTCTGACAAGTGCTCTTACCCAGGCAGCCACACTGATTCCTCCCTCGTTTCACCCATGAATTTACCAGACGTCACCTTCTCAGGCTCTCTCCTCCATGCTGAGTCAGAGTGTCCCTGTGATTCAGTCCTCCCACTCTGCCACTGCCTGACACTAACTCTCTCTCTTTATTTACTCTCCTTTAGAATGAAAGCCCCATGAAGACAGATATGGTTTGTTTTATTCAGTGCTATAACCCCAGTGCCTGCACAGAAAAAGGGCTCCATAAATACCTGCCAAATGAATGAGTCTGTGGTGTGCTACCAGCTTCCATGAAATCCAGCAATCTTAAGGGACTCTGTCATTAGTCTCAGGGACAGATCTCAAAGGATCCCTTGAGTTGGTTACTAAGAATAAATGACTATATACTGACCCCAGAAGTTTCCACAGCCACCAAATCATCTAACATCCAACCAGGAGATCTTACACAGAACTTTGCTAAGCAAAGAAATGGGCCCACTGTCATCTCAACTGGTCAATTCTCACCACACTAGCACACAGAAAATAAAAAGGGCTTCAGTCCCATTTGCCACACCCACATTCCTCTAACACATAACAAAAGACACAGAGGAGATTTTTATTTCCCATTAAAACACTGAAATGGGTTTCTGTTTCACATCTCCATGTTCTCCATGAGTTCTGCTGGAACAATGACAGCAAATCAAGCTTCCTAATTGTCCAGCACCAATGACTGAGATATCTCATTGCAATCGTGATTTAAACATTAGTTTCTTCATTTCTTATACATTGTAATAAACTTGATGTAAAATGAAATACCCTCACAAGATTTTATTTCTGCCCTAGTTGCCTTATCAGAATATCTGACTCAAATAGTCATCGATGTTTTTCTTTCAAAGACATTTATTTCTAAGAATGGTATCCTTACAGACTTACTCTTTTTTGAGGATCAAACTTTCATTTTGGAAATTAAACCACACCAGGCTCTTGTGTAATTATGACACAGAAATGTTGTTAAAATAAAACTGAAATAAGAACTCACTCTCTCTCCATCCTGGCTTACCCTTAGGGATGTGCAATTCATGTTTGGTCTTTTCACACCACCCTATGGGATGAAGGTCAGGGGAACCAGCATTGGTCCAAAAATCGTAGCAGCTTAAATAACCATCAAAATGAAGCCTTAGACGGTAACCACACACCTACAAAATGGAATGTTTGCAGTTGTTCACTGTGTCATGTGTTTGAAGTATACAAATTAACAACATATTCAAATATTCTGTCAGTCTCATCAACATATATGAACCAATCTTTCCATCTATTTATAGATGACATCTAAATAAGACAAAATGCTGACAAAATATACTAGATTTTTTTTCTGCAAAAATAATTACCCTTTCCCTCAGTCTAGAAATCTGAGGTCAATTTACCTGTCCATTACTCAATGAGTTTATTTATTAACTCAAATCTGTCAAATATTTCTTTCAGAAACCCCATCTAGCTAACGTACAAAGCAAAACCCAAATGGGCATGGACTTATTTCAACTGCAACATATAAACCCAGCATACTCAATAAAGGAAATAATAAAACAGTCTGAGAAATGCATCCTCTAGACATGCTATATAAATTTAATAGCCATAACCAATCAGCAAATGAATACTGTTTTCTATGTTTGGTGTTATTAAAAATATACATATCTTTTATCAATTTAATAATATAAAACATTTAGTAAATCTCACATTTTATAAGCCATTTACTTTCATCAATGGCTCTTCATGCTATATAATTTTCAAAATGCATTTATTTATGTAAATATATAATTCATATGCATGGATATTTTTCATATGCATTTCTAATTAGTTCAGCTAAAACTTCAATAATTACATCTTTAACAGATAAAAGCAACAATGTGAGATTCACTGATTGTTATCAACCTCAGGTGAAAACTATTTACCAATTAAATCAAAAGTATCTGCTAGGGATGAAAAACTTATTAAAAAGCTAATCTTCAGAAGGAAAAAATCATTAAGAAACATATTTTACCCATCATTGACTAAAATAAATCTATAATGTACTGGAACTTGTTTAGAACAGAAAGTACTCAATTTATTATTCTCTAGAAAATTCTCTTCTGTCACTTCACTCTGCAATTAGCACAAAACAATAACACCAACTCTTACCTCAGCTACAGAAAGCACACAAAATACAGCTGGGTGTCGGGGGTCAATGCCTTCTAATCTCATTCCAACCTGAAAACCATTTTCATACTCTGGAAAGGACTGGTCCTAAAAAAGCCATGATATAACATTAGCCACTGAAATATATTCACAAGTTAATACTAAAGCACTTGGCGTGGCTATACAATCAAAAACTTACCACTCTAATTTGAAAGCTCAGTAATATAGCTAAAGATATTGGGTTGGCCAAAATGTCCACTTAGTTTTTTTTAATAAAAGACACATTTTTCGACTTCCAGCTAAGATGGAGGCATAAACAGACATACTGTGCCTCCTTGCACAACCAAGATAGGGACACCAACAATTTAGAAGCAGAATAACAACCAGAACTGACAGAAAATTGAACTGTATGGAAGTCGGACAACCAAGGAATTAAAATAGACACGTTCATCCAGACCGGTAGGAGGGATAGAGTCGGGAGTTGGGCAGTCAGGCGGAGAGGGGTCAAGGCACAAAGAGCTGTGGGACCAGGTACATAAGGCATCCCAGGTGCACAAGGCATCCCAGGTGCACAGGACCACAGCAGGCGGACTCTGGGCACACAGGCGGTGGCTGGCAGACCCCAGGCACGGGGTGGCAACCGGCAGACCCAGCAAGGCAGCTATTGTGAAGGCACTGAGTGCAACGCAGGGTCCCAGATCTGGGAAATAGAGCCTTGGGACACTGATCAAAAATACCTGTGGGTGTTGAGGCGCAGGGAGTATTCCCAGCCTCACAGGAGAGACCCATGGGGTCCTAGAACATGCACAAGCCCACCCACACGGGAATTAGCACCAGAAAGGCCCAGTCTGCTTGGGGCAAGTGGTGGAAGGGACTGAAGTCTGATGGAGAGTGGAGCAAGCACCATTGTTCCCTCTGGGACCCTGCCCCCACATACAGCATCACAACCCAGCAACCGGGTTAACCTGCCCTGGTGAACAGGTAAGGCTCTGCCCCACATTGGTAATAGGCACATGACAAGAAAAAAAAAAGGCTCAAACAGAACAACAGATCAAAGCTCCACAGTAAATACAACTAAGTGACCAAGAGATAGCCAACCTATCAGATGCACAGTTCAAAGCACTGGTGATCAGGATGTTCACAGAATTGGTTGAATTTGGTTGCAAATTAGATGAACAAATGAAGACTAAGACTAAGACTAAGTGAAATGAAGGAAAATGCACAGGGAACCAATAGTGATGGGAAGGAAACTGGGACTCAAATCAATGGAGTGGACCAGAAGGAACAAAGAAACAACCAAACAGAAAAGAATGAAGAAACAAGAATTCAAAAAAATGAGGAGAGGCTTAGGAACCTCCAGGACATCTTTAAACATTCCAACATCCAAATTACAGGGGGACCAGAAGGGAAGAGGAAGAGCAACAAGTGGAAAAGTTATTTGAACAAATAATAAAGGAGAACTTCCCCATTCTGGCAAAGAAAACAGACTTCCAGGAAGTCTAGGAAGCTCAGAGAGTCCCAAAGAAGTTGGACCCAAGGAGGAGCACACCAAGGCACATCATCATTATATTAACCAAAGTAAAAATGAAGGAGAGAATCTTAAAAGCGGCAAGAGAAAAGGAGATAGTAACCTACAAAGGAATTCCCATCAGACTGTCAGTTGATTTCTCAAAAGAGACCTGGCAGGCAAGGAGGGGCTGGAAAGAAGTATTCCAAGTCATCAAAGGCAAGGATCTACATCTAAGATTGCTCTATCCAGCAAAACGTTCAATTACAATGGAAAAGCAGATAAAGTGCTTCTTAGATAAGGTCAAGTTAAAGGAGTTCATCATCACCAAGCTCTTATTCTATGAAATGTTAAAGGGACTTATCTAAGAAAAAGAAAATAAAAAGCATGTATAGTAAAATGACAGCAAACTCACAATTATTAACCACACCTAAAACAAAAACAAAAGCAAACTAAGCAAACAACTAGAACAGGAACAGAATCACAAAAAGGGAGATCACATGGAGGGCTAGCAACAGGGGAGTGGGAGGAGGAGAGGGGGGGAAAGGTATGGAGAATAAGTAGCATAGATGGTAGGTAGAAAATAGACAGGGGGAGGGCAAGAGCAGTATGAAAAATATAGAAGCTAAAGAACTTATGACACATGGACATGAATTAAAGGGGAGAATGTGGGTGGGAGAGGGTATGAAGGGTGGAGGGGAATGAAGGGGGTTAATGGAATAACTGTAATAGCATAATCAATAAAATATATTTTTTAAAAAGACACATTTTTCATTGTCACCAATAACTTTATTGATTTGGCTATTTTGAGTATATAGGCCATATCCTGCATGGTATAATGTTGATTGTTCTCAATTAATGTCTCAATTTCATCACTATCGACTTCAACAGGTCTACGCGACCACAGAACATCATCCAACAAGAAATCTCCAGCACAAAACTTCACAAACCACTTTTGACACATTCCATCAGTCATAGCACCTTCTGCATACATTGCACAGTCTTTTCTGGTGTTTCAATTGCATTTTTACCTTTTTTAAATAATAAACCATGGTGTGCAAAAAATGTGTATTTTCTTTCATCATCAATATTAAAATGGCTACACAAAAATTCACCAATTTTGATAGGGTTTTTTAAAAATGCACTCTGATATGACAGCTGTCACAATATAATCTAACAAAATTGATTTGAAGTAAATCAAAATGAAGTAAAGTGCAACTATAGTCATCTTAATGGAAAAAAAAAAAAACTTTTGGGCCAATCCAATGGAAGGATGCTCTTATATATTTAACCCCGAAAGATGGTTTGATCATTTTTATGTGCTGTGTTTGAAACAGTTCATATACAAATCTTTATGCCCTGTGAACCCATTTATTCTTTTTTTAAAAGATTTTGTTTATATTTAGACAATTGGGGAGGGGAAAGAGAAGGAGAGAAACATCAATGTGTGATTGCCTCTCATGCATCCCCCACTGGGGGCACTCCCCAGATGCCCTGACTGGGAATCAAACTGATGACCCTTTGGTTCGTAGGCCTGCATTCAGTCTTCTGAGCCACACTAGCCAGGGCTGAACTGATTTTCTTTTTGCTCATTTTTTATTAATGATTTGAAGGAGCTGTTCCTGTATTCTTGAAACAACTCTTTGTTGATTATAATGATTACCTATCCCTAGTCTGTGACTTGGCTCTTCACTTTGTCTCTGATGACCTTGATGTAGACATTTATTTTAAATTTTACTGTAGTAAATACATCAGTTATTTTCTATACAGTGTGTACATCTAGCTATGAAATTCTCTACAAACCTGAAGTTACAGATATTTTCCTAATGCTCTTTTAAAATTTTGTTCTTCATATTTAAATCTATAATGCAACTGGAACAAACTTTTTCTACGGAGTGAAGTAGGAGCCTATTTTTTTCATATGGAAAACCAAATATTGAAAAAAATTTTTAAAATAATTCATTATCTGCAAAGTTATCTCTAATACATATTTGTGGGCCTATTTTTGACCCTTTTATTCTGTTCACTAGGCCTATTTGCTTATAATGAGTCTATCTGGAGAGCAATCTTCACCATACTGAGTTTTATAGTTCAGCAACTTGTTCCCTCTCCATTTAATCAAATCATTTTTATCTGTCCAAGATGTTTTTTTAATTTTTACATAAACTACAAAAATGCTTTGTCATGTTTATTTCTGTGTACCTTTTAATGCTTATTGCCGTTTTATATGAAATCTAATAACAGACTAATTTGTCCCCACACATTATTATTTTAATACTGATCTTATTTCCCACAGCCTTGCTGAACTACTATTAGTTTTGAGCAGACAGTTTCAAGCACATTCAGCACTACTAGTCAACTGATTCTTCACTGCAAATGAACTTATAAGTATACTAATGAAAAGTGATTATTAAAATCTAACTCAAGAGCTGCTTTTTAATCACTAATGGTATTACTATTTGTTAATGCTTAACATATGAATGCCTATTTTTAAAGTGAAATTTATTCTTTTGAGAAACTTTTCATTTCAAAATGTCAAATTTAAGTTGCAAAAAGAAAACAGTAATGAGAATACTTACAGCCTTTGCCTCAATTTATCATTAACACTCCACCTCATTTGCTTTATCATTTCCATTTGCTCCCTTGCTCTCCTGTCTGTATGTATACAGAAATACATATGTACATATGACTTTTTCTGAATCACTCAGGAGTCCTTTATCCCCAAATGCTAAATATTTTTCAATAAGAGCAGATGTTCCCTAAGAATAAAAACATTCTCTTATGCCCTTGCTGGTGTAGATCAGTGGATTGAGCACGGATTACAAAGCAAAGGGTCGCTGGTTCAATTCCCGGTCAGGGACATGCCTGGGTTGCAGGCCAGGTCCCCAGTAGGGGCCATGTGAGAAGCAACCATACATTGATATTTCTCTCTCTTTCTCCCTCCCTTCCCCTCTCTAAAAATAAATAAATAAAATATTTTTAAAAATGATTCTCTTACATAAAAATAGCTATTTATCAACCTCTGTAAATTGGACACATATGCAACACTTTTAACTAATCTTCTCTTCATATTCCAGTTCTTCTGATCTACACAACAATGAACTGTCTAACACTTTTCCCCATCCAAAATAGGATTCAGTCTATTTTTTTAAGATTTTATTTATTCTTTTTTAGAGGGAAGGGAGAAAGAGATGGAGAGAAACATCGATGTGTTGTTGCCTCTAACACACTCCCCACTGGCCCACAACCCAGGCATGTGTGCTGACTGGGAATCAAACCAGCAACCCCTTGCTTCGCAGGCCAGCACTCAATCCACTGAGCCACACCAGCCAGGGTTAGGGTCAATATTAAATTTAGTTGATATGTCTCTTTAGTCTTCCTTAATCTGGAACATTTTCCACAGCATTTATTTAACTTTCATAATATTGACATTTTTAAAGAACATAGTCTTCCCTCTCCCCTATTTTATTAAAATAGAAAGCTCCTCAGCCCTGGCTGGCGTAGCTCAGTGGATTGAGCACGGGCTGCAAACCAAAGTGTCACAGGTTCGATTCCCAGCCAGGGTACATGCCTGGGTTGCAGGGTACATGCCTGGGTTGCA